TGGTTCTTCCCATTGTGTATCGATACAGAAAAAAAAAAATAAAATCTATTACTAAATCTCAGTCCCTCATATGCTAAAAGAAAAAAAAAAAAAGTCCATTCTTCTTATCTGATTTAGAAAGAAGAGTAGTGAGATGGCAGAGTTCACTGATTTTTGAAAGCACAGAAATTGGTTGAGCAATATTTCTAATCTCAGATCAGTGTTTTATGCCATTTTTAGTTTCAAATTACCCATTTGATTCTGCTACAGGAAAATGATGTGAGACAATTTAAGTAATAGCAATCAAAATTAATGAATATGTTTTCATTAAATTCAAATGCACCGCAAGTATTGTCATAGAAATCACATTTCCCAACCCAGAAGGAACACTTCTCAATGTTTTCTTCCTAATAATTTTCACACATAATGAATAGAGTAGTATATGTCAAAATAACTCCAGTATATTTGACCAATAATTTTCTAATTGGGAATTGAGTTTGATTCTATGTTTCTTCCACAAGAGGATTCATCTGTTTATAAACAAAAGGAGGAAATGTCTTTCATAGAACCTCATCCTAGATCTTCTGATTAATATTGTTAATATTGTGGATATTTTTCTCTCTATATCCAGGAGTTTCTTGTCAAATCAAATGTTATTGGGACCAGCAGTTAGCGTAATGGCTATGTTGCTGGACTCCCACGTAGTCGACCCTGGTTCGAGTCCCGGACCCAGTGGCTTAAACTCATGCTGGGCATGTGTGCGTGCATGCCCAAGATCCTGAGAGGTGAATGGAAGAGAAGGGATTGAGGCATGGCCATCCCCACTGGGGGGTGATTTCTCTCTTTCTATCTCTCTGTCTTTCTCTGTCTGTCTGGTGAGCACACGTGCCCTATAGCAAAAACCTCTCCAAAAAAAAAAAAAGAAATCAAATGTTATTTTTCTGTCCCTGAACAAATAAGATGGATTAGTGGAGGACAGTGATAGAAATCATATAAATTAATCAATCAAGATTCTTCTAAGATTTGAACTCCTTTTCATGGTCACCTAATCATAGTTCTCCAGGAAACATCAGAGTGAAACTGAGAGTTGGGAGGTGGGAGGGGTACCAAGGACCTAGTTCAGAAGATCATTTTGGGGGTGGAGAACTATGTCTTATTCAGAGACTAGGCAATAAATCTATGCTTATAACATATTGACTACTAATTAGAAAATTATGAAGCATAAATCTGGACTGTTCATAAGGAGTCCCAAGGTCTTGAAAATTCTGGGATTTGACACATTATTCTAAGAGAAATGGGATTTTACTGAATGTTTGAAATGGAGAGACATGATCAAATTTTAATTTTGAGACATCATTCCTGCATCAGTGTTGAGAAAACATTCATAGCAATATTGCATTCAATGAAAGGGAGAGACAGCAATTCAAATGCTGCTGCAATAATTATTCTTGAAAATTATAGAAATCCCTGAACTGCTTAGAAGTCTGAAGGGATAGAGAACAAGAATTATTTCAATGTTATAAAGGGGTAGGAAATCACTCGGGCAGGGAGAGATTTGCACAAAGATGTTTACTGTAGCATTATTCACAATAGCTAAAACATGGAATCAACCTGCGTGCCTAACTACTGCTTAATGGACCAAGGGAAGGTGGCCCACATCCACAGTGGAATACTACTCAGTCATAAAGAACAATGATATCCTTCCTTTGACACAAAGTGGACAAACCTAGAAGATACAATGCTGAGTGAAATAAGCCAGGTTCTGAATGACAAATACTGTGTATGTCCCCACTTACTATATACAGAATATTTACCCTCTATGGTGGAAACTGGAGGACTCCATGGCTTAGAAGTTGAGAAGGTAATTATAAATACTGGACCTGAATTGGGATGGGGGGAGTTTCAGAAGAAAGCAATTTTTCTTCTTAGAAGAAAAACGGAGAGGAAAAGTGTTAATGGGACAAAGAAACGTGCCAATTTCTGTTGAAGATATTTTGTATTTTAGTTAACTGGACTAGGGAGAAATGTTAATATGTTGAAATATTCACTTTGTAAGCTAAATAATGTGATTGTTTAAAAGAAAATTAAATTAAAAATAATGAAGAAATAAAGAAAAAGAAGAAAGCAATTAATAGGCACAGTCATGGTGTCAAGCAGCTAGAACAGATTGTGAAACACTGCAGCACAGCAGAGCAAAGACTGTTTCTGACAATTGAATAGATGCTTCCAAAAAACAAGAACAGGACCAGTAGAACTACTATCAAATGTACACAAAATAAGATAATAATTAATATTGAAAAGGCGACTACAGGACCAGGAGATGGCATGGAGTTTAAGGCAGCTGGATCTCACATGGCCAAGCACTTGGTTTGAGTTCCAGACCCCAAGGCTCGAAAATCATGCCAGGTGTTTATGCGTGAGTGTCCAAAATCCTGAGAGGAGAATGGAAGGCAAAGGATAGCAATGTGGTCATCCCCCCTGGAGGGTGATTTCCCCATTTCCCCTCCCTCTGGTCTTCTCTGGCAAGCGCCAAACTCTATAGCAAAACCTAAAAACTGAAAAAAAAAAAAAAAGAAGTGACATGCTGTATACATGCTTTGAAAAACCATACTGTATCATACAAAGTTGTTCAATTACATGTAAACCCAAAATTACAATTGACAAAGAAAGCCACTGAAAGAAAATAATAAAGCCATTGGTCAAATGGACTATTTAAATAAGAAAAAATATTAAAGATGACTAACAAATTTTTCTTGATTTCCATTTTGATTAATTTTGTACCTTACTACAGTCAATAAAGGTAATTGATTTTTTTTTTAAACTGCAATGGGCACATACATTCATCAGAAAGAATGAGAGAGAGGCAGGAGTAGAGCACCCTAATGGGGTATAATCATCCACAATCCTTTCTCCCCTTTTACTCCATCCCATCAGAATTTTGGCACCAGAGGTTCATTTGGTTTTCAAGCTGCCAGAGCTAGGATTTGAACTGCAGTCAGTCCCATGGGCTCTGACTTCCAGTGCACAGGGCTTAATCACTGTGCTAGGGGGGCCGACATAAGGTAATGGTATTTTGTAGGCATGCATTTTGCAGGCAGAGCCAAAACAAGCTACAATCATAATCCTCGTGTTATTTTCTACAATAAGATGTAGAATCACAAAGTCAGAAGTGAACTTCAAAGTCACATAGCTTAATATTCCACATGTGATAGTTAACTTTGTGTGTCAACTTGGCTAGATAATGGTGTCCGGGTATGTGGCCAAACGCCAATCTAAATGCAGCCTAGGTGTTGCTGCAAAGTTTTTTTGATAGTGTGGTTTTGTTTGGCGTACTTCAATTCAATCGATGGACTTTGAGTCAAGCATGGGCAGTCTTGGTACACAGTGGCTAAGTGTGAGGAGAGGAAGCCAGATTCTTTTTTTTTTTATTTTGATTTATACATTTTTTTATTGTTCATACATTAAATTGCTATGCATCATTTAGATTGTGAAGAGACTTTACCCAGCATGATATACACCTCAGTCCAGCCCAATTGAGACCACCATACACATCCTTGTCTACAGATCATAAACCTTATCTGTGTCCCACAAGTGTCTTACCTCTCCCTTTTCCCCCCAAAAGCCAGATTCTAAGTGGCTGACCAAGGCCCCAGTTCCATCCCTGATGACGTAAGAAACGTATGTCAGGGGCCAGCAGACGGCATAGTAGTTAAAATTGTGGACCCCCATATTGACAACTGTGGTTTAAATCCCAGACTTGCCAGACTGAAAATCACGCCAGGTGTGTGTATTTGTGTGTCCTCAAAATTTTGAGAGAAGAATGGAGGAGAAGGGATTGTGGCATGGCCGTCTCTACTGGGAGGTGACTTCTCATTTTTCTCTTTTCGTCTCTCCCGTCTCTCTGGAAGTGCACATACTCTATAGCAAAAACCTAAACAAACAAAAACCACATGCTCATGGTATTCTGAAATGGTGAAGGATTCAGAAAAAGAGAATAACAATGTGACCACACTCTGTTGGGGAATTCTCTCTCTCTCTCTCTCTCTCTCTCTCTCTCTGTCTCTCTCTCATATACACACACCCTCTAAGGTAAAAAATAAATAAATAAAGCTTTATCTAGCAAAGATCTTTGCTGTTTCGTTCAGTGGTGTATTCTAAATAACATAGAGACCTTTTTTCATTGTAGAATAAGAACCTATTAAGAGTACCCTTCTTTCTCTCTCTCTCTCTTTTTTCTCTCTGAAAAAAAGTAGGTGTATAAAGCTTTAGCAACAGAGCAACTATTTGAGAGATGCCTACATACAAGCGGTGATACATTCTTCTCTAACTAACTTAATGGAGATAGATACAAATAATAGAAAATTAAGTGCTATTGGCATCTCATTTTTTTTCTAATTATATGTTTCTGTATGCTTACCTAAAACAATTACTTTGAGCTGTGTCTGCCATTTAAAAAAAATCCTACTTCAATTTAATTGTTATTATGTAACAAGAGATACAGGAACTACTTGCATATATTCCTTGAGATTTTACAGCCTTCATTTAAATAATATTGAAGATATTGTCATAGTAATTTAGTTTCAACCTTCAAGAAAAATGTTCTACAGAGACTGAGCACATTGTAAAGCTTTTTGCAGGCTTCAACTAGAACTATTTTAAGGACAATTTAGCATTAAGCTAGAAGATGCTTTAAATAGTAGTAGCATGCCTTTTGAATTTAATGGCTGTACAACTTCAATCACCAATACTTGCTCAAACTAGAAACCAAAAAAAAAAAAAAAAAAGCGTTAAAAGCTAAAAGAGAGCATTAAACTAGACAAAGGCTAGATGAAACTTTTCTTCCCGATAATGTTGCACTTGTTTAGTTGAGTCAAATTCAATATCATTGTGAATGTCAGGAGGAATTTGGCAACTGCACTGCAAATATTTTGTTCAAAAATGTGTATTTAAACAGCTGAGTCAACCTAGTGGCATCTGTGCCTCCTTCTACAACACAGGACCAGCGTATCTTCCAGTCGCTGGTGCTAGTGAAGCCTACCCGGGCAAGCACTGGGAAGGAAGAGGAGTATATATATGCATTACTCTGAAGGTAATGGTTCCTATTGATTTTTTTGAAAAGAAATCAAAGTAAATTCAGAGACTTCTATAGGCATGGGCATGCAGAATAGAAATTTGTTTTCTATTGGGTATCTAGCAGTTTTTAAAAATCATTCATTTATTTAATTCCATTTGTTGTTATTATTATTATTATTATTATTATTATTATTTTAATTTGACCAGAAAGAGACAGAGAGAGAGAGAGGAAGAAAGGAAAATGAGAAAGCAGGCTGCCACGACCATGTGGGAGTCCAGCACCTTACCACCACACCACCTGCCAACCTCTATCCCGTGTTTCTTTAACTCTTCTCTTTGGTTTCTGTAATGTCTGTCATGATTTATACCTTTAATATAGTAGACAAAACTTTCCTTTCTACGTAAAATCAGAGACAGGCAGGGCTGTAATTCAGACACAGTGGAGGCCTACAGAATTCGTCCTTTTGGGGGCATTTAGGATGCCAAGCTTTGAGATTCAGCAGGGTCAAGACTTCTACTGTCTAATCCCTTGACTCAAGTAGAACAGCCATGATGTATTTTATGAGCTGCTCGATGCAAAAATGGCATGGTAGTAGTTACTTCCCTGAGGTACTCCCTATGGTATTCTATCTGCTTTTTCTGGCTTGCTAACCTGGCCCATGCTGAATTCAAGTAATCATAGAGAGTCCATAAAATCTGAAATGTCATTTAGTAAATTTACTATCTGATTCCATTATGGTGTTTTCTTTTTCTTTTTTTTTTATAATCATTTTATTTAACTTTATTCATTTATTTATTTTAATTTGACCAGAGCGGGACAGAGCAAGAGTGAAAGCAAGAGAGAGGGGGGGAAAGTGAGAAAGCAAGCCACCAGGCCTGGGACTCGAACCATTGTTGGCCATGTGGGAATCCAGCTCCTTAACCATCCAGCCACCTGCCGGCCCCTCCATTATGGTGTTTTCAACCAAGAACATTGTCTAATGTATTGGTTCTCAATTTCTCCATGACTCTTTGACAATGTTCTCAGTTTCCATGATCTACTGTTTTTGTCCTATCATTCTAGGCAAAAGCACTCAATTTTCACTCAGGTTTTTGTTTCCTCTTGATCTTCTTGCAGACTTTCTAGCATTGTTGGAGAAAAGCACATAGCCAGGATTGCAGACATGATGATAAATTCATGTTTATCAATCTCTTATCAATATTTAAGCATTTCTAAGTTTCTGAAATATTCAAATTTACATATTTCCATTGCACCTGAGATTTATAACTTCCCATTACCTCCCCATCTGCCACTTATATGTTCTTAACTATCATGGAAGCCTTTGTCATTGTTTACAAATCTAACTTTTGCAAAACGATCTTATTCCTTGAGTTTCTCGGCACATAGATTCTGAATTTTCCCAATGTATTTCTCTCTTTTTCTTCTTCATCTGAGCAATAATTCTCAGCACTTAATTATCTAGTAAATGTTCAGAAGTTTCAATGCAACTTAAAACTCAGCCCATCCAAACATGGACTGTCCACCACTCCAAAACCATTTGCTTCCCTCCTCTCCCCTCTCCTCCTGCCCACCCATTCTTCCCCTAGTTTTTCATCTGTTGAGGAACACTGTCACCATCCACTTAATCTAAAATTCAAAATTTTTTAAGTCTATGAGTCTGCCTGTCCCTCACTTCTAGGTACACCAACTTTACAAATTTTAGTGTCATTTTCATGTCTGCATAATTAATATACTTCATTCTGCATGCATTTATAAAATACTGACTTTTACGAGACATCATCATTCTTCACTTATATTACTGGGAAAGGACTGCGGACTAGACGTAATATCTGGCCTCTTATCTCCTTCCATTGCATCCTCCACATTACAGTCATAGAAATAATTCTACAACATCAGTGTTCTGCTTGTTGTCAATCCTTTCTAAAGCTTCTAATTTGGGTAACATCTAATCATTCTTTTTCACGGCCTACCTTACCCCAGACAGCCTCTCCAAGCACATAATCCTCTAATCCCCTCTTGCACACAGAAATGTAAGCAGTTGAGATTTATGAACTTCTACACGGAATCACTCTTCTCTTCCATCTAGGGCCATAGAAAATGTTGCTCTGAGATTACTACTACCCATGCTCCATGCCATAGTGTAAATATAATTTGTTGGGGAAGAGATTTATCACACGCTAAAGAGAGTGGTTGTCTATTCTAGCCCATCCCATAGCAACTAGAGATCATTCATAATAATGTTTATTGTAATTAATCCTAATTATATTTAATGATATATAACTTTCCACAAATGTCAAAGGCCTATGATAGCAGATATTCTCTTTATATTTCTCATCCTTTCTTTCCTCAGAGCAGCAGTGTGAAACTAAATAAACTATTAGTAAATAATTGATACAAATCTATAAAATAAATTTTGATTGGTAATTTTATGTATTGACTGTATTGGGTTAAGGAATGCTCATATAGTTGATAAAACTGTGAGGATATGAGATTATTACCCAAAGAGATTAGCATTTGAATCATTAAACCATGTAAAGAAGACCTGCCTTCATCCTTGTGAGCAGGCATCATTTAATCTCTCAAGGACCCAAATAGGAAACAAACAAACAAACAAAAAATGACTATGATGAATGAATCCTCTCTCCTTGAGCTAAGATGTCCATCTTCTGTCCTTGGACTTGGGTGTTTCTTGGTCAGTCCTTCAAACTCAGATGAATTATATCACTTGTTTTCTCTTTTAAGAATTATTTATTTAACTCTGGTTTTTGAATTAGTATTATTATTATTTTAATTTAACCAGAGAGAGAGAGAGAGCGAAAGTGAGAAAGCAAGCTGCCAGCTCCAGGACTCAAACCATGGTTGGCCACGTGGGAGTCCAACGCCTTAACTATCATGCCTCCTGCTGGTCCTCCCACTTGCTTTCTTGATTCTCCAGTGTACAGATGGTGTATCATGAGATTTCTTGGTCCTGATTATCAAATGAGCTAATTCCCATGATAAAGATCTTCTTCAACATAGATATGTTTGTCTTATTTGTTCAGTTTTTATAAGAAGCCTTTTTATGAGAATACTAAGTGTTTATCTTTTATGCAGATTTATTTTTATAAGTTTATTCTTTTGTGATCTGTACATGTATTTATATGAAACAATATTTGAGATATACTTAAAGTTCAGTAAGTTACATTTACTAAAACATACAACTTGAGGAACTTAATACACACACACACACACACACACATGCACACACATATACATATACGTAATATATATATAATATGTATACATTTTTTCTGAGAATGTATCTTACCATAAGTAAAATAAATATTTCCATCTTCTTCAAAGATGTAGAGATATGCAGACAAAGGAGGAGGGTGAAGAGAATTTATTAGTTCATTGTTACCGGCATTGTACTACCAGAATTGTCAAAAGTTTAAAGCTGATCCTTTTACCTATGTTGTACATTTGAGCTGTCTTTAGAGCTGTTAGCCCCAAACACTAGCATTTTTTTTTTGTAGAGGTTTTTCACTATAGGGCGCGTGCGCTTGCCAGACAGACAGAGAGAGACATAGAGACAGAAAGTGAGAAATCACCCCCCAGGGGGGATGGTCACGCCGCAATCCCTTCTCCTCCATTCTCCTCTTGGGATCTTGGGCACGCACGCATGCGCGCCCGGCGTGAGCTTTAAGCCACTGGGTCCGGGACGCAAACCGCGGTCGACTACGTGGGAGTCCAGCGACACAGCCATTACGCTAACTGCTGGTTCCCTAGCATTTTTCATTTGTAGATTCCTTGATCTGAAAGAATACAGGTCTGGCTAGTCCTAAGCAGCTATGTCTACAGGCTGTAAGAATTTGACATCAGTCTGCCTGTCCAGCTGGTCCTGTTGAGAAGCGTTATCAATCGTCCCATTCTGACTCTTTTTCACTCACAGGAATTATTGGTTGCCCACACTATTTACCCCAACAAAAGCTGTAAAAATATACAGTCTTTGATGTTGCAGTCTGCAACTTGATTGTGTAGTTTTCCACCTCAGGAAAACTACACAATCAAGTTGGAACCTCTTGGTTTCTCAAGAGTGAGGTATAGCATAGGACACTGTCTCTAAAACTTTGTGAGACCTTCTAATTCTTTGTTTCTTCTGAAAACACTGATCTCCTGATTTAAAATTAGGAGGATAACACGTCTTCCCATCTCATATTGGGAGAAGTCATGAAAAGCACAGAAAACTCGGGAACCAGCAGTTAGCATAATGGCTATGTCGCTGGACTCCCACGTAGTCGACGCGGTTGGTGTCCCGGACCCAGTGGCTTAAAACTCACGTCGGGCGCGTGTGCGTGCGTGCCCAAGATCCCAAGAGGAGAATGGAGGAGAAGGGATTGCGGCGTGACCATCCCCCCTGGGGGGTGATTTCTCGCTTTCTGTCTCTATGTCTCTCTCTGTCTGTCTGGCGAGCGCACGCGCCCTACAGTGAAAATCTCTCAAAAAAAAAAAAGCACAGAAAACTCTAATTTTTTATTTACAGATATACATTTTTCTCCAATCCAAATTCCTGAAATTTATGTCCTGAAATATGGCTGAGGAAGTTCTCAGAAAAAGTATGGCATCAGAGCCCACCAGCGCTGCCCTTCTTTGCAAATACCACATACTGGACTTCAGAATTTGGCTTTTATTTTCTTGAGGCAGAGGTTGAAACTGAGTTGAAAACAGTTCCAACGATTAAATTGATACATTTATTTTAGCTGCTAATACAGCAACACAATGCTCTGTACTATAGTATTTAAGAAATCAAACAATTTTTTTCTACTTTGCTCTCAATCTTTCAAAAGTAGAAAGTAAAGGGACCAGCAGTTGGCATAATGGTTATGTTGTTGGACTCCCACATAATCGATGGCAATTTGAGTCCCAGACCTGGTGGCTTAAACTCACGCAAGGTGTGTGTGCATGTGTGTCCCAGATCCCAAGAGGAGAGTGAAGGAGAAGGGATTGCAGCCTGGCTATCCCCTGTGGGGGGTGATTCCTCTCTGTCTCTGTCTTTCTGGCAAGCACATACGCTCTAGTCCAAAAACGTCTCCATAAAAAAAGAAAGAAAGAAAGAAAGAAAGAAAGAAAGAAAGAAAGAAAGGAAGAAAAGAAAGTAAAACCAGATTTAAACAAATCAAAAGAAGGCAGTAGGTGAAAAAAAGAAATATATAACAATTTGAATATTTGAGAGCTGTCTAGATTCGGGTGATAACAACTCTTCTGGGTACAGAGTGAATATTTCATTTTCATATTTTATTCTGTAGTATCTGGAAAACTTTAGCATTGGTCATAAGGGCTAATCTAGAAATAAAACCAGATGAAGATTTGATCAAATCTGAATGTTATTGGCTTCAATAATAAAAAAGAACAATACAAAATAGAGTGAACTCTGTTAGCTCTTGTTACGATTATAGTTATCCATCCTTCAGGCCTTGGGGTACAGACTTAGCTTGATTTTTAGCTTAATTATCTTTTTAAGCATTAAACATGTATCTAGAGGGTGTTTCAATATTACAACTAGTCAGCGAGGCAATCCATTATGTGGATTTTTCTAAGAAGCTAATGTAATATTAAGACCTGTATCCCAGGCTAAATAGTGAAGGAACTTGAGATTATTCATTGATTTCTCTCTTTTAGCAATGTGTCCCAGGAAAACATCATGATGGATACACTGGAATTTAAGACAGAGAGCTTCGATGCAAATGCCAGTGGTATATATTGTACTTACTATCTTTTTAAATTTCCCCATCGTGTTCTCTTTGTCTAGGTTCAGTTAGAAAAATGGAACAAAAGAATTCAAACAGAATTAGTGTGTACATGAGAAAAATAAGGAGGTGGGGAAGCAACGGTCAGGAAAGTCACCAGCAAAGGCCAAAATAGCGACCATAAGAAAGACAACGTAGTTTGGACACAGAGCCTTAACCTGAACTATGAGGGCAAGAAAACTACTACAATCCGCACAAATCTCCACCTAGCTCCACCACCAGCTGCAAAACAGGGAAATAAGCAATTCCAGGCTCCATGAAGCTTGTATCTGTGCACATAACTAACCACGGCCACCTCTTGGGCATCACATAATTTATTCCAAATTCCTCTTGCAAGCCTTTTACATAAATTTGTCACACTGGCATTCTAAATAATAATAATATACAGAGAAGTGGATTCTGGTGAACATGGTTCCAGATATCTTCTCTGTGTGTCAAAGACAACATTGGAAAGTAATGCCAATTTGACCAAAATTCAGAACAACTTCTGTGAGGTAGAAATTGTCACTACCTATTTAACAGAGGAGAACATTAAAACGTATGGCCTTTAAGTAACTAAAATGCAGGTCAAAAATACAAGAAAATATTCAAACACGGGGTAGTTTCATGAAAAGAAAATGCTATTTTATTGTTGAGGTCTTGGGTTGTCTGTACAGCATGGGTAATACTGAACACCAGCCATGTCTATTACTGTGGAAGCATACACATGGTGGCTCTCTGCCAGTCCTACAAATTCCAGTTTTATTGCTTTGGGTTGAAATTCATTTAATTTGATTTCTCTGAGAATATCTTAGGGAATTCTGCTATACAAACAAGCATGAAAAATACTAAAATAATTTAGACTCATATTCAGCCATCTTTTTAAAATAGTGGATCAGGATATTCTGATGGCATATATTTTCTTCTTATGGCCCTATCACATCTTTTTTTTTAAAGAATGACTTTATTTAATTTTATTTATTCACTCATGGATTTTAATTTGACCAGAGAGAGACAGAAAGAGAGAAAGAAAGTGAGAAAGCAAGCTACCAGTTCCAGGACTTGAACTGTGGTCAGCCATGTGGGCATGTCCAGCATGTTAAACACCATGTCACCTGCTGGTCCCTCTATAACATCTTTAAAAATCCAAATTAATTTCTTTTCTTATGACTTTATTGTAGACAATTCTAAAAGTATTGCTATCAATGTTAGCATTAATAGAAATATTATTTTACATTGCATATCTTACTGTCTACTGCATAAAAAATATGTAAATGTCAGTGATTCCTTACATTTGTGGAGTATATATTACAATCATTCACTGCTAAAGAAATCAAACAAGTTATTTGTTTTGAAAATTTTCTACTTTGCATAGTTGCAAAACCCACTGCAACTTTATATGCCTAAACAGCTGAAATGTTCAAAATTTCTGCTCTAGAGGATGAAACGTGACTGGAAAAATTCTTTATTAAATGGGCAATATACATTCTGTTTTTAATTAATTATTTTTTTTAAATAGTGGTTTCTTGCTACTTGTAATTAAAAAATTATCTAAGTGTAGTAACAGAATTAGTACTGGGAAAAGTAAATCTTTACTACATAAAGTTTTTTTGTTGTTTTGTTTTGTTTTTATTTAAAGAGAAATTTTTGCTATAGGGTACATATGCTCACTGGAGAGAAAGAGAGAGACAGACAGAAAGTGAGAAATTTCCTCCCTGGGTTGGGGGGAGTGGCCAATCCCTTCTTCTCCCTTCTCCTCTTGGGATTTTGAGTGCACACACACATGCACCTGATGTAAGTTTTAAGCCATTGAGTCCAGGACTCGAACAGCAGTCAACTGCATGGGAGTCCAGGCACCTAACCATTATGCAATCTGCTGATCTCCTCTACATAAAGTTTTAAAAGTGTAAAAACAAAGACAGAACAAAATAGTATACAAGAGAATTTCAGAAAGTTCATGGAAAAGTCAAATTAAAGTACAAGTTTAGGGACAGTCCTGTGACCTGGTAGTTAAAGAAATTAGATCCCATATGGCCAACTGTGTGATTCAAATTCTAGACACAGTGGTTTGGAAAATATGCCAAGCTAAGTATATGTGCATTCCCCAAATCCCAAATTCCATCAAGGGGTGCCTTCTTTCTCTCTCTCTTTTATTCTTTCTCAGCTTTTTGTTTCTGGTCAGTGTATGCACCATCTGGTAAAATAAATAAATCAATCAAAATGTGAGTTTATTTTGGTATAAAAATATTTTGAAATCCATACTTTTTTTGGTAATATGCATTTTCAAGAAATAGTCCTAAGACTCTTCTAATACTTAAAAAAGAGTCTAATTTTTCCCTGTTTTTTATAAAAGCACAACTTTGGAAGCCAGCAGGTGGCATGGTGGTTGAAGTGCCAGTCTCCCACATGGCCAACTATGGTTCAATTCCTGAACCTGGCAGCTTGCTTTCTCACTTTCCCTCTCACTCTCTCTCTCCATGTCTCTCTCTAGTCATATTAAGAAATAATAATGATAAATAAAATTTAATAAATATTTATTTTAAAGCATTTAAAATAAAAAGCACAACTTTAATACTCATAAGATTTTGGAGAATGTAGATTATAAATATTACTATCTACACATATAACTGTACTATACTTCATCAAAGCTATGATGCCATTGGTTATCACACACCATTTTTATGGATTTTGAAAACATAATAAACACTAAGAAAACTATGACTCATGGGTTAGTGTTAAATAACATGCTTTTTTTTTACATTGAACTTTATTTATTTATTTACTTATTTTAATTTGATCAGAGAGGGACAGAGAGAGAGAGTGTGAGAAAGCAAGCCAACAGGTCTGAAACTCAAACCATAGTCGACCACGAGGGAGTCCAGCACCCTTAACCACCATGTCACCTGTTGGTCCCAACATGTGTATTTTATACTTATTGGCTAATCTCTTCATCTTATTTAGATGTAGATTTTTCTCTTTTAAAAACAATATATGACAAATAAATTTGTTTTAGTGGTAGATCCTGAAAACATCCACCAGCTCCAGCTGCCCCTCCATTTCCGGGTGGTGTGTGGAAGACTGGAATCCTCATGCCCATGCAGTGATCACCGTGCCTATAGAGAGATGGAATGAAAAAATGGAAAAGATGTGAACTGTGTAATTTCTGAACTTCAGCAGTGATAAGCTCATAGCTGATTCTCCAGTTTCTCTCTCTCCCGAAGAGAAGAAACATCACACAGCAGTGTAGGAGGCCCAGGTTTGAGGTACTTAGGCCGTTGAGTCACTACACAATATCCCTGGGAAAATGAACTAGACTTGCAAAAGCGCTTACATGAGTGAGAAGTAAACTTGTTGTGTTAGAACACTGAAATCCTGTTACTGCACCCTGTTACAACTATCCTGATCCATGTAAACTTAGAATAAAAGTGGAACCACAGAATGGAGAGACTAAAATACGTGGCTTGGCAGTGAGTGGTGAAAAAACCAATTATGATGGGCTGGAAAAATGACAATCTATGTTGTGCAGTTACAAAACATTCCCTAAAATTACTACGTAGTCTACCACAAGAAGTGAAATACATTTTGAATAAAATAGTCATGAGCTTTGATTGTTATCCATGATGTTTCTGCAAAATTATCAGAATGAATTGACTTGATAAAGAATAGACTGAATTGTATGCAGATAGGAGAAGAGAAATAAAGATGTGTTAATGCCTTTGCAGAATTGAGAAAAACAGCTATTTATTCCTTCACTCCAAACAAGAAACCATAGATTGGAGAAAGCACATAAGAAGGAAAAGGCAATGAAGCCTTTCAACTGAATAAATGTCACTATGATGTTGAGGAGATTAAAGAAGCTGTGTCCATGAACCAGAAGATGGTATAGTGGGTTAGTCTCTGGACTCCCACATGGCTGACCATAGTTTAAGTTCCAGAGGCTTAAAATTCATGCTGGGTGAGCCACTTTTGGCCCTTTGAAAAGGATAATCTCTATATAGATGGGTTTAGTTTCTTGAACGTGGTGGTGGTAGTATAAATGTCCAAACACACTCAATATATACATTCTCTGTTGAAAATGGCATCATGTATTGCATGCATACTTTGAATTGTGCACTATAAAGGTGTACAATGATGAAATGTAAATTTAAAAAAGGAAAGAAAAGCTATGTGGTACACCATAAACATGAACAACAATTAAAGGAAAAGAAATTACAAAATAAAAAATACATAATAAAAAATGAAATCACAAGATAAGAACAGCCTCAAAGTTCCAGAAGAATCTTTGTAATAGGTAAACAGAGAAAAAATAATATATATATATATTTTTTTTTGGAAAGGTTTTCGCTATAGGGCATGTGTGCTCACCAGACAGACAGAGAGAGACAGAGAGACAGAAAGCGAGAAATCACCCCCCAGGGGGGATGGTCATGCCACAATCCCTTCTCCTCCATTCTGCTCTCAGGCTCTAAGGCACACATGCACACGCGCCCGGTGTGAGTTTTAAGCCATCAGGTCTGGGACGCGAACCGCGGTCGACTATGTGGGAGTCTGGTGACATAGCCATTACGCTAACTGCTGGTTCCTGAGGGAAATGTTTTTAACAAGTAAATAAATAATAGGTTATTGTAGTAATCTAGAGCATTTTGAAGACTATTAGTTTCTCTAGCATAATATGGCCAAATCTAAAAGGGTTAGATTATTACTAAAATTCCTTCACATCTTTTATTCTGAGGTATTTGCCAGAGAGTGCATGCACTCACTAAAAATACAGAGACAGTAAGAAGGAAAATGAGAGATCACCCCTCCTAGGGGCATGGCCATGCCATAAACCTTTCTCTTCCATTCTCCTCTTAGGATTTTTAGGCATGCATACACATGAACCTGGTGAGGTTTTCAAGCCACTAGGTCTAGGACACAAATCATGGTCAACCATGTGGGAATCCAGTGCCTTAACCACCATGCCACCAACTGGTCCCCATATTTCTTCACATTCAAGATGCAATTCTCCTGGATCATTCTTGTCTCAGAAAAATCAATGTCATTGGTTTTCTGTACAATATTGTTCTCTGTGACAGGAAGATAATCGTGATGCCACAAAACCACTCTCACCTACTAGGTAAATTTTGATGCTGGTATTTTCTTATTTTATAAGAGAGCATCAACAGATGGCTTTTAGAGAAAGTTCAGTGCATGCACTAACAATGACCACTGTGCCAATTCTACTACCTGGCTAACAGTAATTATGAAACACCACCAGTTGCAAAAATTGATCTCGATTTCAGAAATTTTAAAAACATTTTCTCTACACTGATGAAGTACAACATACTTTGCAAAAATTTGCTTGTGGAGTGACATTTCCTTAAGAAGTTATGGAATACTGTTCTGTAACTAAACTCAGACATTAAAAACAGAAAGAAAACAAAATGGACCTCAACAAATGGATTCATTAAGGATATAATTTAAGGGCAATCTAGAGAGGGATATGGGATAAGTTGGAAGACTAGCACAGCCAGGAGAATGAAGCTGCTGGAAGTATAGACAGGTGACAAGTAAAAATAAATCTCTTACATATATGGACATTCATACAGTGAAATAAGAACTCCCAAAATATCCAGTGTTACATGTGTTTTGAATAAAATCTAAAAATCCTTGTATGAAAGTTCTATAAGAGTGAAAGAAATAACTAGTAATAACAAAACTGCCTATGAATGAAAATATAACGTAACCATATGCCCTGGCTCTATAATTAATGTTTGCTTAATTATAAAAAAAATAATAACTTGGGAGCCAGCAAGTTTTTGGTTTTGTTCTTGTTTTTTGTTTGTTTGTTTGTTTGTTTGTTTGTTTTGCTATACAGTGCATGCACTTGCTGGAGACACAGAGATATCACTTTCCGGGGTGCCTATGAATGAAAATATAACGTAACCATATGCCCTGGCTCTATAATTAATGTTTGCTTAATTATAAAAAAAATAATAACTTGGGAGCCAGCAAGTTTTTGGTTTTGTTCTTGTTTTTTGTTTGTTTGTTTGTTTGTTTGTTTGTTTTGCTATACAGTGCATGCACTTGCTGGAGACACAGAGATATCACCTTCCGGGGTAATGGCCTCTCCACAATCTCCTCTCCTCCATTCTCCTCTAGGGTTTTTTAGCATTAATGCACATGTGCCCGGAGTGAGTTTTAAGTCTCTGAGCCCAAGACTAGAACCACAATTGACTACGTGAGAGTTCAGGGATGTAATCTCTATGTCTTCTGATGGTCCCCATCTTCTATAAGTATTTTATTTTATTTTTTTGAAGAGGTTTTGCTATAGGGCATGTGTGCTAGCCAGAAAGACAGAGAGAGACAGAGAGACAGAAAGCAAGAAATCATCCCCCCCCCTCCCCGGGGGGATGACCATGACGCAATCCCTTCCCCTCCATTCTCCTCTCAGAATCTTGGGCACGCATGCACACGCACCCAGTGTGATTCAAGCCACTGGGTCCGGGACTCAAATTGTGGTCGATTACATGGGAGTCCAGTGACATAGCCATTAGGCCAACTGCTGGTCCCAGCCATCTTCTGTATGTATACTGCAGGAAAATTTATAAAAGACTTTTATTTTTTGTTTTAGGCATATGATTGGAATAAAGTTGCTCTTCATTTTTTTGTTTGTCTATTAGTTTGCAATGTACTTAACACATCCCAGTAATAATTAAGTTTTGTACAGTTTATTTATGTCTTTATAAATTAGAATGAGCAACCAAGTCTTAGAAAATTGTTCTTAAAATACTTATTCATATTATTGTACTGAAAATATTTCTCCTAGTTTTAGTAATGTCATTGCTTATAGTAATGATGTTGGTTTTCTTAGGGTTTGTTGCTTTCTCTAATAGCAATGATTTGATTGCTATAGTGACTTAGTCCATTAATATTTCTATGTGGAAATCCATTACAAAGGAATAGTGCAAAATATGTCCTATACCAAAAGATTATTCTTTTAAATTAAATTAAATTACTCAGCATTTTCTTAAACTTGTTATTCTATTGCCTAGGGGAGGCTTTTGGTGACAATGACTATTATGTTGTGGATATTACCTGATGTTGGGTAAAATAATTTCTATGGAGAAGCTACACATTTGTCTAGCGCCAAAACAATCTTGGCAGCTAGAACTTTTGCATGATAAATGTTGTAATTAAAGATATTGGGTTGTGCATAAAATAATCTTCCTCAATCTTGCTTCAAATTTATCTGAAAGCTATTAAAACAATAGGAAAGTGTGAAGTAAAATTTTCAGAGGGAGAAGTGTATATATTTTCCATAACTCAGTTTGTTAGTACTAACAATGGTAATGATATATTTTTTAATAATTATTTATTTCATTTATTCATTCATTTACTTTTTAATTTGACCAGAGAGAGACAGAGGGTGAGAGTGAGAGAGAGAGGAAGTGAGAAAGCAAGCCACCAGATTCAGGACTTGAACCCTGGTCGACCATGTGGGAGTGTCCAGCGCCTTAACCACCATGCCACCTGCTGGTCCCGACAATAGTAATGATATTTTAAAATGGAAATCAAAGAAAAGCTTTCTTTTAAAGAAAAAAAAATAATATGATATGAGATTCCAAAAGTATGTAAAATTCAGTAGATTAGTTTCATTTGATTCTTAATAAGACTATCTTCTTTTAAAATACATGTTTTTAATAAAATAACATGTATTTCTACTCTAATACTAGTTTATTTCATTTCATAAGTGGCATATTTGAATTAAAACATTAAGAAATTAATTTCGTGAAATGTACAAGTTTGCTTATGAAGATGAAAGTGTGGACCCCTCAGGTTCTTAGGTTTGTAACTGCTAAAATGTACTAAAAATAAAGGGGATTATTTGGTTGGTGGTTAAGATGCTGGACTCCCTCATGGACAACCATAGTTCAAATCATAGATCCAGTGGCTTGAAAATCACTTTGGGTGTGTGTGCATGCATGCCAAAACTCCAAGAGAAAAATGGAAGAGAAGGGATTATGGGATGACTTTTCCCCTGGGGTATGATTTCTCACTTTCCTTGTCTGTCTCTCTCTCTCTCTGACAACTTCACATGCTCTTCATGGGGGGAAAAAAATCAAAACTTAAAAAGACTATAGTAAGTAGAAATCAGTTATTTTTTATATTTAATCACCATATTATCACTATAGCTTACAAAATGAATT